CCCTCCCCCTCCCCCCCCCCTCCACCCTTCTCTCCCTCTCTCTCTCCCTCTCTCTGGCGTCTTACCGGTTTCGTCAGGGTCTCGGCACGAAGTGGGCCATCCGCAGGGTCCTCCAGGCCGTGGTCGAGGGCGGCCAGTTCGACGTCGCTAGGGCGCTTGTCGAGAGCTCCGTCACGCCGAAGCTTGGGGCTGGCGGGAGCGAAGGGAACGAGGATGATGGACGCGCTGGAAGTCCGGCCGAGGATAAGGTGAATGCTCCTTGGGTGTGGTGTATCGGTAATAGAAGTAGAATAATTCTCAGCGTTGTCGCCCTCCTCGCATGTGTTGACCCCGCCTGATTCGTCGAAGGTTTACATCTGCCTAAAGGCTATTTTCCCTCAGCTCCTTCGAAGCTAGACACGACGCTGCCCTCATTGTGTCGGGCCGGACCGCGGAGGCACCTCTAATCCTGTCTTTTGGATTCGTTCCTACCCCCCCCCTTCTCTCTCTCGAACAGGTCGAAGAGGCGAAACGTGAGGAGAGAAGATCGATCGCCGAAGACGTCCTTCTCTCGGCAGCGATGGCTCACTTTAACGCCGCCCCTTCCTTCGAGGACGGAGAAGAGGTAAGTAGAGGCAACGCAAGAGCAGCCCGTACCCGCTTGCGGTGCCCCTATCCTCCGTTTATCGCATGAAAAATGTTGCCGATCTGTGTTGCTCGTGGTTCCGTTGCGTACCGCACGGGAATCGAACGCGTCAAGGGGTAGATCAGCACGGACAAGTGAAGGTACTGGGCAGAGAGATAGGAAAGGTTTTTGATGTGAAGACAGCACCAACAACAACCGCAACTTTTTTGGCCATCCGGAGGCCGATCTCGGTGGCTTGAGAGTGTGTGTGCCATTCGGTTCGGTGTATATTTTCTTGCTTTGGTTTCGCCATGTTTGGCTTTAATCGGAGACCTCCAACAGCGTTTTCCTCCGACAGCGTTTTGTTTGTTTTATTTAGTCTCCGACACAAAGGTCATTTCTAACGTTAAACGCTCGTCTTGTCTTGTCTTGTCTTGTGTCACGCAATGACAACCCCACCAACAACAACACCAACACCAACGACAACAACAACAACACCACCACTACCACCACCACCACCACCAACAACAACAACGACAACGACGGCGACCACGACGACCGCGACGAGCAGCTGCGGTGGGCTCAGAGATGGCTGGACCTCTTGCCGTGGTCCTCTCCGGCCCTGGGTCGAGAGAGGGGCCTTCATGACGCCGGAAGGCTAGCGCACGACCTCGGCGCGGTTGACCTAGTCCCGCTACAGCTTCGTCTCCGTCTCGGCGGCGCCGGCGGTAGTGTTGGTGAGAGCGAACGTTGGTTTCTTGTCGTCGCTGCTGCTGCTGCTGCTGTTGCTGCTGCTGCTGTTGCTGCTGTTGCTGCTGTTGCTGCTGCTGCTGCTGTCGTTGGTTCCACGTACGACCGAAGTGTTGTGGCCATCCATCGACGCCCCGTCTGCGCAGTGCCTGATTTGGGTCTTGTCCCCTATTCCGTGTGAACAGGACACGAATAACTTGCGTGTTTTTTTGTTTCCGACGGTGATTTTTCATGAGTCAAACACGCATACTGCTGCTTTGTTTGGCGTTGGTTTTTACGGCTATTTGCCGACTGACGACTGGGTTTCCCCGCACCTGGCGTAGGCGGCGGTTGCACGGGCGGGGGCAACAAGGCACCCGCTGCTGTTCCTGCTGACGGAGCAATGGGGGTCATCCAAGAAGTCTTACGCTGCAACCCAGACTCCTTCAGAGACGGAGGGGGCTCCGCGTTGGAAGAGGGGTGGGGGGGCGAGGGCGAAGGCCTGTTCGGCGCTGGCAAGGTACGGAGTGTTGTGGGCTGCCCTTGCTTGTTTTCTCTGTTCGGCGAGCTTCTTGCGCGTGCGCTGTGATGGGTCTTGGGTATGTCACGCCGAAGCCGTCAATATGGGTGGGGTCTCTTGCCGGCTTCAAGATAAAAGCGGCCGTGAAACTGAGCATGTACCGCCGTAGGTGGTATGAGATACCACCCCCCCTGGACCGAGTCTCAAACATCGACGGCTGCGCACAAGACAAAGAGGTTTCAAGAATCAAACGATACGTTTTCGAAAAGATCTCGACGAGACAGTTCCACCGCCGTCATTTTCGGCACCGCCACTCTGTCCATGATACTACGCCACGGTGGATCGATCGAGCTTTGACAAATGGTTTGCTCCGGGGTGTTTGTGGCGAATTGTGTCATGTCGCCGACGGCATGCCGGCCTCACTCTTCCCTGCCTCGACGACGGTGGTGGTGGCCGTGGTGACAGCTCAGGCCTCTGCCTGAGACAAGACGTTTGATCAAGCTCACCCCCGCACATGCACTGCGAATTCCCGGTTTCAATCAAAACGGGGCCCTGTGTAGGCTAAGGAAAAACAGCCCTCAGATCTGGCTCCTCCGCCCTTGCCACGCCTTCTCCACCAGGCTTGAATTCCCTTCATTTCCCTGTGAGATCAAGTCGAACGCCAACAACACGCTACTTTGATAGGACAAAAAATGCGCTCACAGCAAGACACGCGATGCTGTCGGGCACAACTGCTAACACGAAGTGCCGCGATTGTTACCGTTTTTGCACCACACCCAATGCCCAATGGTTGGTGGTGTGCTACTTGTAGCCAGGTCCGGTGACAACTCGGCTTGCTCGGCCCCGGCTTCGTAGGGATGCGAGGCTAATGGTCTAACGACTGCGGCTTGTGCGTTGAAGTGAGCACACAAACCCTTTATCCCCCTCCACCTTTCTCTTTTTCTTTTTCCTCGCGGCGAGCTTCAGGGGGGACTCATCCGCACCCCTCCCGGCACGGGCCTGATGCGTCTGGCGGGCCTCCTGGGCCTAACCTCCGGCGAAGAGATCGACCGCGTCAGGGCGCTCGTGGCCAGGGCCGCCCTCGAAGCCGGCGAAGGCGGAGCGGCCTGCGACATCCTGTCGGTCGCCATTCTGCGTCGCACCCCTCGCGGGCGGCGGCGGGGGGAGGAAGAAGGTGGTGCGATGGTCGTGCCGTTCGCGCCGGAGCTGTGCGAGGCGCTCGATCTGGTGGTGGAGTGGGGGGGGTCGGGAGCCCCGCGGGTGGGCACGGCTGCGACGGGTGCCCCCCCCCCAGCTCGAACGGCGGACCTCTGCGCGCAGGCCCTGTCCCGCTGCCCCGCCTCCCAGATCGGCCGGCTTTTAGGGCCCTGGTCTCGCTTTGAGGCCGTCCGCTACCTTGCGGAGGCTGCTGCTGCTGCTGCGCCTACCGCTGACAGCGGCGGTGTCGGCGTTGCCGACGGCGCCGGTGGGAGTCCCTGCCCCGGGGGTGGGGGTGGGGGCCCCGCAGCCGTCGCGAGCGTACTGGTGGGGGGGGGGATGGACGAGCGCGCCGCGGCGTCGGTGGAGCGATCGCTAGCCGTGGGCTTCCAAGCGGGGGAGGGTAGCGGCAGCGACGATTCCTCATCTTGGTTGGACCGCCGTTTGGGAGTTGGCGGCGGGGCGGCAGAGGGAGCTCTACGCGTCCTCCTTCTTCGGGAGCACGGCTCGTCCTTGCTGTCTCCGTTTTCCCGCGACGCAGCAGGGGACGGGGATGGTGCGGCGACGAAGAAGAAGCCACTGGAAGAATACGCCGGCCCGGCGGAGGCAGCAGAAACAGCGGCGGCGCTCGATGATTCAGTGAGGAGGGAAGCGACGAGCCGCTTGTGTATCCTCCTAGCCCTGGCCGAGCTACGCTTGTCGGAAGAGGAAGAGGAAGCCAGAGCTGCAGACACCGCAGGTGGCCAAGATCAACATTCTCCTTCTGCCTTCGGCAGCCAAGGTTGCTCGGCCCAAGAGGTGGCGGCGGCGGGACCGGGGACGACGGCGGCGGCACGGGAAGCAGCCGACGAGTTCGGAGTCGGAGAGGTCGAGCGTGCCGTCGGGTACGCCCTCGCCGCCGCGGACGGCCGGGCGGCTCTCGGCGCTCTCCGGGCGTTGCTGGAGCGGGCGGAGGCGAGAGTAAAGGGTCTGAGAGAGGATGCGGAGGCGGCGGTGGCGGCGGCGGCGGAGGAGAGAGTCGGAGCCGGCGGGGGGCGACGGACCGGAGCAGACGACGAGGTGGTGGTTGTGACTAATGATTTGGTGAAGGTTGTCTTGTTAGGTTTGCTGTCATGCTGTTATAAGTGTATTGTCGCGCTTGTCCGGCCGGCGTCGCAAGTCGGGCACGGGCCTGCCGCCGAACGTGGTACTGAGCTCGGGGTGTATTATACATTAAGGTGATGGCCTTACGGTTTCTTCAGGTCGTGCCGCCTTTTTGTGAGTTACGGTAGTTCGTGACGCGTGCACGAGCAAATCCATTCCTGCTTCCGACAGAGTTGTTTATTGTCCCTGGTTTTCAGCTGCTCACGGCCGACGCTCTAACGCGCTTCGGTCACTCTTGCTGGCAGCATCAGTGCTGCGTGTATTTGTGGGCGACTTGGTCTGTCAGGTGGGAGGCGAACGAGTCGTTGTGTAGCATTTTCCACGACGAGTTGCGTCCGACCTGGGCATGAGTCCCTCTCTATCTCTGACCCTCTCTCGTTCTCGGCACTCAAATCCTCTGCGTTGCCGACCCGCTTTCGCCCCCCCCCCCCACCGCTGGTGCGGCCGAAACTCCGGCGGTATCGCTCGCAACACCAACAGGCGGTTGTAACAGCGGCCGCCACCGTAGACCCCGACGAGGTCCTCGTCCAAGCGCTCGGCAAGAGGGGCATCTCCTCCAACCGCGCCCGCCGCGCCTGCGTTGCCACTCAAAACGCCTCCCGCGAGGCCGCCCTCGCCTGGTGCGTCGAGCACTCGGCCGACCCCGCCATGGACGCTCCCTTCGTCTCGTCGCGCCGGGCACCGCAGGCGCCGACAAGCGGTGGCAGCGGGCGCCAGGCCAGCGAGGTCGACGGCGGCAGTGGGAGCAGTGGCGGGGACGGCAGGATGCGGGCGGCGATGCGATCACGTGATAGGGCGGCCGCTGCCCTGGAGGCCTATGTGCGCGCTAGGCTGGCAGTTGTCAACGGGGGTACCGGCGGCGGCGGCGGCGGCGGCGGTGGCGACGGCGTTGAAGGGGCTCTCCCCGCCGTTGAGGAGGAGATAGAGGAGCTGCTCGCCGTGATCACTTCTTTCCGGCAACGGCAGAGCCTGGGACTGGCGGAGGAGAAGGCGAGGGGGGTCTTGCCGGCGACGGTGGATCTCGGGAGGTTCGCGGGGGACCCTCGGTATCGCCAGGTACGTGTGCCGTGGTGGGGACGTTGCGCTTTTTTTGGGCGGTAGAGACACCCGAAATTCATGCAGAAGCAGCAGTCGAGATGCAGTGATGGGTCCATCGTCATGATGGACATGATGGTCATGATGGAGACAAAATTTGAAGTTGCGAAGTCTCCGATAAGAGAGGAGGGGAGAGGTCCGTCCGTTTAAGGCAATCACACAGCACAGTTTTCAGCATGGACCATCTATCGCGTTAGGTGACTACGCCGTATGTAGAACGGATCAAGAGCTGGAGTGTATATTATTGTCAGGGTTGGTGGGCAATCCTCGTCCCAGACAGCTTGTGCTCTCAAGTACCACACCGTGTAAGTGCGGGGTGAGATGCACAGGTACACAATGCGATTGCCTTTTATTAGCTCGATTTCTCGACAACCATGAGGCTATAACAATGCCGGTTTAGGAAAGATGTCGCCGAGAGCTTGCCGACTTTCCCTGCACGTGCCGGCCGGGGTTCATACCCTCTGGGTCATGGAGCAATCGATCTAAGATCAATCACTCACAACCTACAATTTGTGCGGTAAGCATGGCAGGGCGGCGACATGACGTTTTTTTTGCCACAACGTGTAGATACGGGCGATGATCACACATGTAGTAGCTCGAAATGACCCACAGCTCAAGAGAGGTAGGAAGACCGACCGACCGGTGCAAGGAAATGTCTCGTCTCGAACAGATGTTCCTCAACGTATCCCCTGCGGCATTGGCAATAGTCTCTTTGGTAATGAAGCTATCGAGTTGTGAAAGTCTATCTCCTACTGCTGTAAGGGGTGAACGACCACCCGGCACTTTTTCTTTGCTTCCTTTCCGAGCCTCTAATGTACAGGTTTCCTATTGTTTCCTATTATTTTGTGGCTGTCTGTTGATGGGAAAGCCGAACGGTGGGTATTTGGTTCATTGTTCGACTAATACGTTGGTTTTTCCACGGGGCTTGATCCCAGGTCACGCGGATGTTGGCAAGAAGATCAAACTGGCGGAAGGTGGCAGTCACCCCATCGTTCTAAAGTTTGCCCAACAATGGTGCGGAAACCATTCCTCTAGAAGAAGAGTAAGACCCGTTCCTAAGGTTCATCTCCGGCGACACCCGCAAAAGGTTATGTCTACGCTGCTGTTTATGCCTTGAGGTTTGTGCTGTTAGTCTTGTGTTTTAACGCGCATCGCATGTATGCTTACCCAGGCTGAACTCGAAAGGGCGGCCACGGACGCGGTGGCCTCATGGGCAGCTTCTTCTTCTGCTGCTGCTGCTGCTGCTGCTGCTGCCGCCGGCGGGGGGAAGGGTCCCCGTGGCGTCATCGCCCTCGCGCGCGAGTACCCGGACACGGACGTCTGGAGAGTCGCCGCCGCGGCCACAACCGGCCTCCTGGGCCGGGGTTACGGGAAGCTCCGGAGCAAGGGAGTCGCCGCTTCCGCCGCCATCTCCCGGGTGGAGACAGAACTGAGGAACAGCGGGGCAGGAGGAGGCGGCGCGTTGTTGGACGCAGTGTTGGACGGTGGCGGCGGCGGCGGCGACGGCGGCGGCCGGGGACGGCAGGATGCTCTGCAGGTCGTGCGCGACCTGTTCGTCGGTGCCGCGGACGGGGCCGACCTGCACCACCTCGATCTTCTACTCCGGTTGATGTACGAAGCGGCGGCGAGGTCTGGGCCGTCCGGCGGTGCCGAGGCGGGCGGCGGCGTCGGCGGTGGTGCGAAGAATCCTATCGAGAGGCGGCTCAACGCGCACATCGGGCTCATGAGACGGCTCCTGAAGGCCGCCCCGCCGGGGCTCGACTACAAGGCTCTCATCGGGGACGATCCCCTGGCGGACCCGCTCGCCGACCCGGAAGCCGGGGGAGGCGCCCCCGACGCCGCCGCCGCGTTCGCCGGAAATTCTTTGGCGCCGTCCAGCAACAACAGCGCCAGCAGCAGCAGCGGCGCCGGCGGCGGCGCCGCGACGCGAAGGACGGCGGCAGGGCTGGCGGCGGCGCGAGCGCGGGCCATGGCCGAGCTCCGGTCGGTCGCGGGGCTCGAGCACGCCGCGGCGCTGTCGAAGCTGGCGGCGCGGATCCCGGGAATGTCGGTCTCGGCGGTGTACCTGGCGGTGGCGCAGCGGGTGCTCTGCGGCGAGGCCGGCGGGCTGTCGCCGGAGGATATGGACCTGTTGCGCGGTGCCCTCATCACAGACAGCGGCGAGGAAGAGGAGGCGGAAGCATTGTCTGCCTCCGTGTACCACCTCCTCTCCCCCCTGCTCCCCAAGATGGCGGCGGATGACTTGGTCGAGTTGGCGGCGGCCGTCTGCGCCCCCCACGCTGCCGGCGACCACCGGGGGTATTACCCCTGCCGCAGGACGACCCCGGCAGCGACATCCTCGCCGCCCCCCGCGGACAACAGAATGGCACCCTTGCGTCTCACGGTGCGGTGCAGGCGAAGGCTCCTGGCGGCGGCGGAAGTCGCCGAGGGCAGCGGTAGCGCGGAGGCCGCTTCGGCGGCTGCAGCGACTCTTGCCGGCCTGAGCGGCCTTTTGGACGCTCTCGACGTCGTGGCGCCCTACGTCGTATCGCCCCGGGAACTGGTGGGCCGTGAGCTCGAGATGGCCTGGGCAGCGTCGAACAGAGCCCGTACTGGTGACGATAATGGCGGCGCGGAGACGGCCGCGCTGCAACAAGAGCGCGCGGTCTCCGCTGCTGCCGGGGCTGCGGCAGACATGGTGGCCATGGGCGCGCCCCCCGTTGCAGTGGACGCCGTTTGCTCGGGCATGCAAGCAGCGCTAGGGGTTCGGGCCACCGAAGAAGCTTGGGCGGCCCCGGCGGGGGACGCCTCCGCGAAGCAAGGAGCAGCGGCGGCGGAGTTGCTGAACCCCTTCCGCGTGTACGCCACCGCGGCCGCCGCGATCTTGGCGCGCTTGGTTTCTAGCGACCCGGACGACCGTGCACGGGCGCTCGAGGCACTCCGGCGGGTTTGCACCGCCGCTGCAACCGGATCCGGGGGGTGGGGCGGGAGTCACCGCGATGCCGGGGCGGCGGCGGCGGCGGCCGCCAGTGGTAAGGCTTGGGGAGTTCTTGCCCCGAGGCTTGGCCTCTTCTGCAGAGAAGGCGACTCCAGTTTCCGGGCAAGCGACGGCGACGGCGGCGGCGGTGGCGGTGGCGGCGGCCGTAACGAAGCTGCTGCCCCTTCGGTAGTGTTGTGGGCCCGCGCCGAGGTGCTAACCCTCGTGCGGAGCTTCGGTGGAGCGTCAGTCGTAGCCGACGAGGAACCGGAATCCACCACCGCCAGTAGTGCCGGCGAGGCGGTCGGGGGAGTGACAACCGACAACCAACAACACGAAGAGAGCCACGGGCTTGTCGGGGACGGCGATGGCGGAGGCCGTAGGTTGCCGTCGCCATTGCCGGCGCAGCTGTCGGTCCCGTTCTTGCGAGTAGCGGAGCTGGCCATGGAGGCGTTCGGGAAGCGGACCTCGCCGGAGGATGTGGACTCGTGGGTGTCCCGTTCGGCGTTCCTGGGGTTGCTCGTGCCGGCCACTACGTCGGGTGCTACCTTCGGCAGCCGTAAGAATGGGGCCTCTGTCTCTGTCTTTCTCTCGTCCCATCTGTGTGTCTGTATCTCTGTCTGTATCTCTCGCTCGCTCGATCTAGATCTCCATGAAAGTCTTTGTCTCTCTCGTGTACCTCTTTTTGCTCAAATATTTGCGCATTGACCTTGATACGTGTTCAAGCGGTACCCGCTTGCTACCAAGCACGATTTCGTTCCTTCACGCGGATTATGTAGCATGAAACGTGCACATTTTGGCAAGAAACGTGCGCGGAGGTGTCAAGTTGTGTGATTGAACGGGCGAAAGCGTTTGTTTTTGCTCCCCCTCCCCCCGGATGACAACCAGCTTCTGGTTCATCGAACGTAGTCTGGGCCGTCGAAAACTCGGAATATTATCGCTCCATATCGGCACTGTAGGGATGCGCGGTCAACGTCTAACGTCGAAGATATTCGTCTTCATGAGTACCCCCCCCCCCCCA